TAAGCAGATAAACATCAAATTTTCATTTTTGGGTGAACTATCCCTTTAAATTATTGGCTTGTATATTTTTTATTACACTAAAGCCAAAAACGCATTTTTAGAGTAATGATAGATGCTCAATTTTCAAAATAAAAAATATGCAGATTTGGGTCTTATTTCTTTTTATTCAAAACAAGGTTTGTCCAAAAATAAATAATAAAAAAATGCAGAATAAAATAGAATAAAATTATCACAATTAATCTAATAATTTCTGACCAGTATGTAAGCAGAGAGCAACTAAACATCTTTATTATTTCCTTCCCTGCTAAAAGTAATGCAATATTATCGATAAATTGATGTGTAAAGACACGAAACGATCGGTCCGTGCAAGAAACTGAACAGTATTTATATCGTTTTTTACCTCTGATTTACTGCAATGTCTGAACTGTCCTGAGCGCATCCTGAGCGCATTCGCGTCTTCTTCTTCAGCCGGCGCGTGACGAGTCTTCTTCTTCTTCTTGACACTCTATCTACAATCTCAATTAGGAGTGTCAATGGTCCATTTGAGAGATAGGTGGTGGTAATGCACTTATAAGTCTGCGATCTGCCGTAAAGCAAGAAGAAGAAGAAGAAGACACGTCACGCGCCGGCTGTTGAGAATGCGCTCAGGACATTTCGGACTGACAGACTGCAACGGTTTGAGTTAAAAATCTTCGTTTGTGTTCTACTGAAGAAACAAAGTCACCTACATCTTGGATGCCCTGGGGCTAAGCAGATAAACATCAAATTTTCATTTTTGGGTGAACTATCCCTTTAAATTATTGGCTTGTATATTTTTTATTACACTAAAGCCAAAAACGCATTTTTAGAGTAATGATAGATGCTCAATTTTCAAAATAAAAAATATGCAGATTTGGGTCTTATTTCTTTTTATTCAAAACAAGGTTTGTCCAAAAATAAATAATAAAAAAATGCAGAATAAAATAGAATAAAATTATCACAATTAATCTAATAATTTCTGACCAGTATGTAAGCAGAGAGCAACTAAACATCTTTATTATTTCCTACTCTGCTAAAAGTAATGCAATATTATGCATTTGAAAGCATAACGACGAGTAACTTTGTGTCTGCCAACTATTTTGTTGGAAAGGCCTGGAGATACTAAATCTTTTTTTTTATTATATATTATATTATTAGATATTCTATATTGTTATGATAAATATATAATATTATATATCGGAGTTTCTCATTTCTGGCTCGTGCCTGCAGCCAAATCGCACCCTTTATGCGGAATAAAACATCAGTGAATAATCGAACAACACTAACTTGCCTTGACTACTCTGTACATTATCATTGTCTAATCACTGTCATCCTTTCTCCTTCTATGCTCTTCTTTTCTACCCTGTCTTACTTTTTCCCAGCTTGCAGAACTTGAGGAAGGAGAAGTCGCGCAATGCAGCTCGTTCTCGGCGGGGTAAGGAGAACTTTGAGTTCTTCGAGCTGGCGAAGATGCTTCCGCTCCCCGGGGCAATTACCAGCCAGCTGGACAAGGCCTCCATCATCCGCCTCACCATCAGTTACCTGCACATGAGACACTTTGCCAGCCAGGGAGACCCACCCTGGAGCCCTCTACGGGAGGGAGGGAACAACTGCAACAAGGGTAAGTGTGTGCAGTACACCTAGAAGAAGGAGTGTCAAACTCAATTCCTGGAGGGCCAGAGCCCTGCAGAGTTTAGATTCAACCCTAATTAAACACACCTGATCCAACTAATCAAGTCCTTCAGGCTTATTTGAAAACTACATGGTAAGTGTGTCGGAGCAGGGTTGGAACAAAACTCTGCAGGGCTCAGGCCCTCCAGGAACCCCTGACCTAGAGAATGGGCGTGAATGGAATGGCATTTTACCTACTATGTGAAAAGAAAGTAGTATGGATGGACAAACTAGATCTTTTTTACACAAAATTGGAATAAAATGCTAAATAACCAGAATAATAATCCATAAATGGGGATCAAAGAAGGGCCAGAAACCTAGGAGGTCAATTTAAGTCGTATGTGTGCTGTTTTATTTTCTAATAATTTTTATTAGCAAAATTTTGGACATATATATTTACACACACACACACACACACACACACACACACAGCTATAAAAATTAAATGGCTTTATATGTAATGTAATTTTATCGATGTACAATTTTTATCATATACATTTTTTTCTCTGATTACTCTGATTAT